AGAAGATAGAATAAATCTGTGATCATATTTCCGTAGCTTACACAAAAAGCGTTCAATTTCCGGTGTATTAGTAACAGGTATTTCACATTCTAACATTTGTTAACTGTTAGTTTTTTTTTTACTTTTGTTGCTATAGATAAGACATTAGACGTATGCATATACATTTAAGGTACATTTCATCATTGTATAATTGAATTTTGGTAGCTTTCTGGTGTTACGATTTACTTTAAGAATACTAGTTCCATAATTTAGCTGTCCAATTTAATAACATAGCACAATAGAAAACCAATCAATTACAAGGGAAAGGTACAATGGAAGGCATATCAGGCTCAGTTAGAAATAATTTTCAAAGTGAATATATATAATGGTGAACACAACAGGCTATTAATCTTTCTGCCCATTAAAAAAGTACCAACTTTAACGACATTAAGTAACCTTCAAGCTGTGAACCTTAACAGATATCAAGCATTGGTAGCTACATTAAAAAAACAGGTTCAGGGTAATACACTAGAATGAAATATTCAGGGCAAAGTTTGGAACAGGGTGTGGACGATTGAAGAAACCTCAGCTGAACTTGGAGAAAATGTGGAAAGCATTGCTCAGTTATTATGCCATGAATATTGCTAGGAACTGTAGATTAAATCCTCTATCGAGTAAGAACTCCTCCCAGAGGATACAAGAAAGAGGAAATTGTAAAGAATCAACAAATGTTACTAAGCCAAGGATACAATACCTTGAGAATGTGTCTAGGGTCTTAACCAGGTCAAAGGAATAACAAAGAGCTAACCAGACATTAAAAAGACAAGAACTAGTTGGATTTATAGGGCGAAGTTCAGCTGGAAATACTACTTATAATCCAGATAAGATAAGAAGTTCATTATTTGTGGAAGATCATCCAAGATACCATGGGTTTATTGATGGAAGTCTTTGTAGTATGTTGACTGACATTTTTTTTCTGTAGCTTTAATTGTTTGACCCACTTCTTATTAAAAGATGCGAAGTTGCCGCCAGCAATTCTGAAAGAATATGAATTGGTACAAACAGCAAGTGGGATAAATTTCCAGCAAAATGAAAGTTAAAATTTACCCTTAATTGTAGAAAGCTTCTCTACACCCCATGATGTGTGTATAATTGCAGCGAGAAAGAGTGTATATTGAGACCTGTCTCCATGCAAAGACATGGATGCAAGATTATGCTAGCTTCAGAGTATAATCAAGAAATTCATTTGTACTGCATGGCAGTTACTACATCAGATGTTGAACTTTCAGTGACAACAGGAATGGTGGCCATTGTACCATTCAGAAATGAAATCCTCATACTGGGAGTTGTTATCAATAAATTTATATCTAGTGACAAGGACATAGTGGAACCAAACACTGACATGTCCCAAGGAACTTATGGTTGGAAGAACTCTCATGGGTCTGAAGAATAAAGATATCAAACACGATTTTACTCAGGAAAGACTTAAATCAGCTAGTGATAAAATAAAGTCGCTATGTTGTTAATGCTGATAAGACTGGATTCCATCATGGTGACATAGTATGGCTGTACATTCCCTGCTGCAAGAAAAGACAAATCCAAAGTTACGCAGATACTGGGGAGGGCTATATGTTCTAATGAATGAAAACTCGATGTTTTTTTACAGAATCCATAGGAATAGACTATTCAAGCCAAAGATTATCCATTGTGATTGACTTTGGAAGTGTGTTGGTGAGAGAATAGCTAACTGGATAATTCCAGAGAGGTATTTGTCAGTGAAAAGTCGACCTACTGAGGAGTCCAGCGTTCATGTGACCTGAGACAAAGATAGAGCCGCCACTGGATTCATTTGACCATCTACCTAGGAGGAATTTCCCAGGTGACAGGACAGACAATGACATGGGACAAGAAGTCATCCCATCTGCATACCATTGACCTCGGAAGAGAAATCCACCAAAAAGACTTGATGATTGGACAGTTTTAGTGTATTATTTTTATAATAGGATTGTTCAAGGGATCCTATAATCCATAAGGACACAGTGTTGTAAGCTGTGTTTTCAACGTTTTAATTTAGATGTTTGCAATAGGGAACTGCTAATCACAATGATAATGTAATAATCAAGAACTTCGACTAATATCTAAATTGGTACATTAGTCCTAAATACCAATAATGAGTAATGAAAGAACAGTTAGTTCACCGATTGAGAATTCAATGAAGTATTCAGAGTGGAGCAATCGGGTAGTTGTTGATCAAAAGAAGATTGACCGAGTAAAGTTATTCATTAAGAGTTAGTGCTTTTGTAAGCTAATTAGTAAGTTAGTCAGCATTCGTTATTAACCAAGGAAAATTTAAACTATTTTTAGTGCATTAGGCTTACAAATTGCGCCAAAGTGAACGTAGCCTGTAGTAAACTTTATTGGGTTGAAAAATCGTTATCGTTAGGTGGACCGAACCTTGCATTGTTTTTTACCAAATAATTCGAACAAACTGACCAACGATAGAATACAACAGTATTGTCTCGATTATTACTGTGTCTGTCGTATCCCAGCCGGCCTGGTACGCCCTGATATTGAGCGAAATACATCGTTGGCACTGGATATCGCAGATATAGTAGGATAGACATATTACTGCGTTCTTTACTTTCACATACAAGTTCTTATAACTGAAACAAGAATGTTTGGAAAACCATGATTTATTCAATTTCATTATACCAAAAAGTTAAGGTTACTAAAATAATTGGGTAATTTATTAAATTTTACGTACATCATACACAGAGATTTTCATTCGTAATAGTTATTGCAAGTTATAATTACTTAAGATTCAAGGTATTTTTGTTTTATGAAAATTAATATCTTAATCTGAATAAACTATTTTACGTTCAAAGGCTTAATTAAGTGATTTACGCTTAGTGACTGATACTACGTCATTGTTTTTATCAGGATTTTTAATTCTTAGAATTAATCATCGTTTAGGGTTTCTAACTATGTAATTATATGATGGCGTGATTTTTAATAAGGAATATCTGGGGATAAGCGTTGCAATGACAGAAAGTAATGACTTAAGACACTTTGTTACTACCATCAGGGCGGGGCGGAGACTTGTGTTTAGTTTGCCCGATCTGTGTATCCGAAGTTTTATGGCTAACGTTCCGTTGCTTCAAAGAGGCGCTCCGCACTTTGGGTGGGGTGGGAGGCTTATATGTGCTATAAGTGTGAGAGTCAAACCATGCTATTCGGTCAGACAAGATTATCTCGAGATGAGCAATGGGTACTGTTGATTAGCTGCTTTTCCTCTAGTCTTATCTGTTCAAAATTAGATTTGACTATGTGCAAGTAGCCCTTGTGTAGCTTTGCGCGAGAATTTTGAAACAAAGTAAAATTAGTACTACTATTATTAAATGTAAAGTGCAGCAAGTATATAGGGTTTTTTAATCAGTCTTATTTAACAATATTTTTATAAATACCAGGAAAAAACACGTGTAAGCACCAGTGTGTTTTCGTAAATATGCCCATTCATATTTGTATTATGAAAAATGAAAATGAAACTTGTCACAAACTAATGCTTTCATATTCACAACGTTCTCAGCGAGTGTAAATTACATTTGAGAAGACTCATTTTCTTTGGGGGCAGATTTTTAGTACACCGTGTAGTTGAACACAGAAATTCAGCCTTTTGGAGAATTGTTTAATTAAGACCATTATATTATCATAAACTAAAATATCCAAGCAGAACTACAAGAAGGCACGTGCGTGTGGCGCTGTCCTATCTATCTACTGAAGCAGACACAGAATCAGTTACACCTAGATAGAGGAGAATCATTTTTTTATATTTCATTAAATTAATTTGCATATTTGTAAACATATATGTAAAATTAGTTGTATTTTGATATCAGATTCTCCTTTGAAAATTCAAAAATCCTTTCCCTTTCCCCAAATCAAAGTTGTTTGTTTTTCATTCTTTTCCTGCTCTGCTGTTTATTTACACATGCAATGTATACGTCGTTTGAAATGTGCAAAATATTTTAACTTCGTGTTTTCGTCGCTGATTACGTATACTTTTCATGACGATTAGTCATTCATGTCGAAAAACGTGATTCTGCATCGTTATGCTTGTGATATTGGAGTTTTAAATCTGATTATAAGGAAATTTATGTTGTCTTTTGTGCTTATTTGTTAGTTGTTGTCACATCCTGATAAATAAATTTCACAATTAACAATGTAAACGTAAAAACTAAGATAGCTCGTAAGTAGAAATAACGTAGAAGTTTCCGAGTATAAGCTTTCATGCTTGCTGTATTGTGAGTTATAACTTACCACGTTGTACTTTTTCAAATTTTTCACAGTACTCGGAATAGCTTAATCGATATTATTATAATGATTTTGGTCTTTTCCGATTGGTGCCCACCAACAGATCGTTTTGAAAATAACACCAGTAATGCAATGTAATATAATAATTAATAGTAAAACATTATATGATAATTATTTAGCTAATTCTGCGATATTAAACAATATTTTTTTTAATTAAGTATTCATCTTTATTTCTATTCCTCCATATATATTCGCAAAGATGAGAGTCAAGGATATGACGATGAATTCCGCATTGACGCTTATTACTGGTGGTGGGCACCAGATGGAAAATAGCCATTGATTTTACATACAAGTAATAATAGGTGAAATATATTTAACAAGTGAATCATAAAAGTAGTATTATTTTGTGTGCCCTGGTGGTAAGAAGCTAGATTTTCGCAGAAGTTTGTGAACAAATGTAATTTACATGTTAGCATTGAATTCATATATATATATTACATGCTAATACTTCAACATTTGGCTAATAATTGTGCTTGCGTTATATCTATTTCTAATTTGTTCGTACAAGGTCAATTCTTTTTTTGAATATCATGAAAAGAAAATTTGTTTGAGGCATGCCGTGAGGTGACAGTGGAGCCGCAACCATTGAGAGAAGTGTGCGATGTAAGAGTTTCTCCTGGTTCTGTACTGTTTTCCAGCTAGGGATGGTAATAGGTTAGTTTGTTCTGGTACTCCATAGTATGGCGTCAGGATTCCACAGGCAGGCGACGTATCGAAGTTGGCCAGAAATTACGGTCGTTCCTTATCTGGTAGTGTTTTTGACGGGAATGTTATGTCTTGTAAATCAGTTAAAGTTATATTTTATAAATGTATGATCATGTCGTTGAAGTTATGTGGGTGATCAGTATGAGAAGCGATAAAGGGCGCCCCACCTTGTGACCCGTTTTGATAGAATGGCCGACTATGTCAGAGTGGTTGGTCATACACTACAAAAGTACAAGTGAAAAACAAACAAATATTGTCGAGCTGATTTAATGAGCATAATTGAAATTGAACGGTAGGAAGAATTAAAAGGTACAAGAGGTAGTGATTTTTTCGTATGTATAATAATATGTAACTATAAGTCACCTGTACGGGTTAGGGTGGATTTTATTTTTAATGGGCAGTTAAGAATGAGATATTTTATAATTTTACAAATGTTGTATTGAATCGAAATAATACTCTATAACATTTTTTTCAAAATAGTAAATTAAGGAAGTGCAGTTAAATATATATATATATATAAGGATGTAAATTTCTGGTGTCTACAAAAACTGCATAGTGCTAAACTCAAGTACTACTAATACCAGCACTTCTTGTGCTTTATGGTAATAATTGTCTTTATGACAATCTTGTAGTGTCCAGTTAATGGTCATTCATTTGCAGTATATCCATTGTTGGTCCATCATATTTTACTAGGTTCATACGTATCATTGTATTATTTTTGCTTTATTCTGTCAATTTGGAAACTGTTGATAATTTAGTTTTACTCTGTATTTATGAGGAGAAGCAGCCAATTTGTTATTATGATAGTCACTAGTTTTTCTAAATGATGCTTTTCATTCTGTGCAAGTATTTGTTATGTATGTGTATATGTATGTAAGTATAATATATATAAAAGGTCTAATACTTTGAAGTGGCACATTCATGATTTTTAGGGCTAATGTACTTCTTTCACATGAATGCATAGTTTACTATCTATCTGAAGTTAGAGCTGCCAAGCTGGGTTTAATCGGGCAAAGCTGTGGAAAGCAGTTTATTCCAGTGTAACAAAATATTGTTCAGGTATATAAAGTTTTGGGGTTAACCCTAAAATGAGTGATTGATACATATAATCCTCAAAATGGTGTTCAGAGTTTATTTCACTGAAAGTGCTGTATCCTTGCAACATTTTCTTAAATCTTGAATTTTTTTTATCATAATAAAATGATTTCACCTCATCTTGTTTGAATATCTGCTGTAACAAAATATCATTTTCCAAGTCCTTTATTGAAAGAGAACAGGTGTTTTTGAAGGTAATTTTAGACTTAAAAAATTACATGAGAAGTGTACAAGTAACTGCCAGGAACAGGAGCCCAGTTATTTGTATAAAAGTCAAGTGCTTACCATTATATATCATTTGGGTTCACAATAATACTTGATAAATAGTTATTTATACAATTTAGAAATGATAATAATTTTTTATTGCTTTAAAAAATGATCTGACCTTAATGTTTTTACTTCTTTTGGCTAATAAAATAATTATATGATTAGCAGATCAAACAATTAGTGAGAAGCATAGAGAGAAACAAAGTTATTTTTAAATGTAGACATTAATTGTTTTGGTTTACATTTATAGGCTGCTGGTAATTTTAAAGTTACAAAGCTATATTTATTGTGAAGACTAAAAATTCTGAATAACTAGATTTTTTTTTTTTATTGGTAGTGAAATAGAATTTCCAAGAACTCCTAATAACGCTGTTGCTTTCTGTTTTAGCAAAATATTTTATGAGTATAGATCTAGATGACCGTTCTCCATCATGAATTTGAAAATATTTGTTTCAAAATCAATGATCTATTTAATAACATATTATTTTATACCAGGAATGTCTTGTGATGTCTGGTTTAATTTATTTAATAACAAAAAAAAAAGTTTAATTCATTGAAAACTAACAAGGCCAAGTTTGGTGGAAATCTAAATGAAAAAACTTAAATGGATAAAGTGAAAAATGTTGAATAGCTTTTCTTAACTTGTTAAAAGTTTTTTTTCTGTAAAAAGCAAAACCTCTACAATTTAATGAGCAACTTGTTTTGACATATGCACATATATAATTGTAATTCAACTAAATTTGGTGGCAGATATTCTACAGCAGTAATTGATTTTGAATATTATCTCTAGGATGTCAGTATTAAATAATACACCCCCCCCCACCACACACACATCAATTGAAGGAATATAAGTAAAGCTAAAACATAAATTTGTTCACGGTGCTACACTGACTGGCGATTGAAAATTATTACATGATGTACTGATAGTGAAGTACCTTCTCATATGTGTAGTGTGCAAACCAGTGGGCTAAGGACTATTCTGTTCAACACAGTCATGTTTGGTTTCGTTCATACAGAAAATCCATGTGCTAAAAGAATACACCAGGATGATTCCGATGATATATAAGATGTTTTTAAATTGCCCTCTTTTTTTTTTGTCAGAAACTTTTCCTATAACTTGTTTAAGTTCAAGTTAGCATGATGTTTTGTCATATGCCAAAAGTTAGTTTATCAGGAGATAATTTAAATATTTATCATTTTGTAAATATTATGATATTTCATGAATTATTTTTAACATTAGTGTTGTTATACTTTAAATTGAATATAAAAATGTAATTCATGGAAAAAATCCCATTCCTTAATGTTTAAAAAAAAGATTTGATATGTTATACATCTGTTTTACTTCCACATGAGGAAATATTCACCTTTTTCAATACATATTCACTCAGTTTTATATTCATGGTTGGGATCTGTGTTCTAGCAAGTATCTCTTCGCTGTGGAAAGCTGAGTGCTTTTTGTTTACCTGTCTTGCCAGGCCACATGCTGAGGCCTGGTTGTCACTTGTCATAAACAGTTAGTGATAAATCAATGATCATCACCTCCCAAGTGCTCCTGATGGTAAGAATATTGATATATTTCATCCTTGGTGGCCATAAATAGTCCCCAATCATTGGCAATCACACAGTAATTTGGTTGAATATTTCTAACTGGAAACACATTGGGGATGATTGGCAAATTTTGTGGATAAAATTATGAAGGGAAATGCTTTTCCTGATGTATCCCTGATTGCTTAGAACAATTTATATATAAAGAGCATTTGGTAGATGTGAGTATACATCTTTACAGCTCATTACTTTTCACTTTAATAGGTTAACATGAACATGAAGGGAAACATGACATCAGTATTTGTATACTTAAGATTGTTGTTGAGTTACCCTCGGGCCACTTCTCAGAAAACTGTTTGCTACACATGGGCATCTTTAGTGTTTAGTCACTTGACAGAAAATGATCTATCTCCAGAAAGTTGCTCATACATGCTTGGTAAGATTGAAGTCCAGCTGGTGTGAAGGTCACTCCACGCTTTCAGTATTTTCAAAGAATGTGTCAACCAGTTGGGCATGTTGGAGTTGGACATTATCACTTATTAGGCTGATATCATGGCAAAATGTACCAGCATATGACAGTTAAAAGAGTCTAGGGTTGATTCATATTATGTGGTATTAATGGTACCATTCTGCAGGAAATAGAGGTTGTACATTCTACATGTTATTACAGGCAAGCTGTTTTGTGCCTTATTATGAATTGAATGGATTTCACTGGGCATCTATAAAACAGAATTGATATTGTTCATGAACTTTGAAACTAGGTAAAAGAGGTCTATGGTGCTCTGGACCTCATTGTAAAAGACAACACCCTCACAGGAGTCAGTGAAACAAATCTGCATTCTGAAATGAAAGCAGTAACTACCAAGATGATGAATACAAGATTTATGTGTGGCAGATCTTGTGTTTGAGATCAACTTCACCAAGAAGCAGTTGCAAGACAGTGATCATGACATGACTAGAGTTATTCTCCAATATATATATATATATATATATATATATAATCCTTCATTCTCTACAAGATTGATTTAAGGCTTTGCAAAAGCACTTGTGGATGCAACAGAGCTTGCATAAGAAGTAAAAATCACTGAAGTTTGTTTCCAAGAACAGCAGATTCGTTCTTGAACAGAAATAGACCGTTTTTACACACAAGTTATGGTGGACTTACTCTTGATCCACAGCAGAATTTCAAGGTTAGTTTCTTTAACAAAATTATCAGGCAATAAAGCTCTTAAACCAATGGAAGTAAGGCTTCAGCAATTAGTAACATTGCTCATTGTTCCGTTGGCTGTACTCCGTTACTGTTTGTCGACAGTGGGTTCATGGAACTCTTTGAAATATTATGCGAAATATCTTCATATTGACCTATCATATGGCAAGGCAGCTGGTGTCAGTGCAACAGAACTATGTGACCAATTACAGGCAGTGTCATGAAGAGCAACTAAAACTACCATGAAAAGTGTATTGGATTACATGAACAAGAACAGATGAGCAACATTTTTGGTAGGAATGATATTTATTTTGACTCTACCCATGTTCGTTTGATAGATGAAAGAATCCTTTCTAAACTCAAACTGATTAAACCAGTCTGAAATCAACAATGACGCAAATAAAATTTAGTTTGATTGACAGCAGTTTCGATCCAGCTCATATGAAATTACACAAAAACTTGAACTTGACATAAAAGATAAAATTTCAAAATGGTAGGTAACTGTAATAACTGTAACATTTTCTCAAGCTTTAATAACAAAAATATAAATACGTAATTTTCTAATAATATGGTTTTGCTGCACATTTGAAAGTAAAATTGGTAGAAAGGACCAAGAGAAACTTATTGAAAACTTACCTAGGAAGGCAAATAGCTAGCACTGGGCCTGGTCGTTATTTATCAAAGTTTCGAAATGACAACTTTTGGTTGTAGTCTTAAAAAGTTAACATACAATGAACCTCACTATTACAGTATTAACAATTTTATTTCATTACTTCTTTTGGAAATTTGTAGTTAAATTTTTTGTCGGTTGCTTATGTGGTGTTTCGGTTAAAAATTATTCTTGTATCTAAATTTCAAAGATAGAAATTCTACATACTTTGGTTCGAGTAGCCCACCGTTAGTTACATTTAACTACAATAGGTGGAATTTCACACTTATAGCATGTATTACTCAGACAGTCTCTGTCTACTCGTTTATTCATCCAGTTGTATTACCCAGTTAATTGTCTTCTCTTGGGTAACTTAGGCTAATGTACTTACGCAGAAAATAGTACTATATTTTACGTATTGTATCCTGTTTGGTTCTCCTATAGGTGGAAGGATTAATTGCGAAAGTGTATTTTACGACAGAGATACCCATGACCTTCACGAAGAGAAGATATGCTATTTTTACGCTATTGGCTTTATTGTTGTTA